AAAAAAAAGCTGTTTATATTTATACTTTTAACAAGAATATCATTTAAAAATAAAATTTTCACTGAATAATAATCTTTTGAAAAAACAACTACGACATTAATAATGAAATCAAATATTATTTAAAAATTTATAACACAAATTGATAAAGAAAAATTAATAAATGTAAAAACAAAACAAAGGAATCTATTAAATGTAAATACCATGGATGACCATCTATCAAACGTCATGCAAAAGCCACCAGAGGGAGGTCAAGTCGAGCTGCCTTTGCTTCCTCGACTACCTGTTTCTTTCCTTCTCATCAAAAAATTCATCTTCCTATTTTTAATTTTGGTGAATCCTTCAGTTTTCCTCCATAAAAATAAAATCAACCATTCAACAATTGTTGATAAGTACTCAAAAAAAATTTCTTCTTAAGAGTCAGAAAATAGAGAAAAAATTTGACAAAATAATAATTTTTGTTTTTTTAAAAAAAAAACTACGAAGTCAATAATAAAAAATCAGATATTATTTAAAAATTTTAAAAAGAAATTGATAAAAGAAATTAATAAGCTGAAATGTACCCAAAATCAGATATTATTCAACAATGTTAAACCATGGATATGTACCCAAAAAAAGATTTCTTCGTAAGGGAGAAAAAATAGAACATAAGAGAGATAAAAAATTTGACAGAATAATATATATTTTTTAAAAAAAAAAGGGACTACGAGATTAATAATAAAAAATCAGATATTATTTGAAAATTTATGATAAAAATTGATAAAAAAATTTAATAAATTAGAAAAAAAGAAGGAAGCTTTTAAATGTAAATACTGTGTATAATCATCTATCAAACGCCATCCAAAAACCACAAGAGGGGATCAACTCGTTCTGCCTTTGCTTCCTTCATTACCTGTGTCTTTCTTTTTCATCAAAAAATTCATCACCCTATTTTTCATTTTGGCAAATCCTTCTGTTTTATCCCCATAAGCACAAAATCAACCATTAAACAATTGTTGATAAGTCACACTGGTCTGCATTCTAAAACATGATGTCCTCGTTCTTGGAATTTAAATGTTACCCTCTATTCTTCACCACCTTGCTCAGTGGCAAGTTCCTGAAGAAACCAAGTGGAACTTCCATCATCTCCAACATCATGCCTAAGATAAAAAAAGCTCAAAAAATCAAGCTTTCATCACGTGCAGGGTCCATGAATAGGCCTAAAACCCACCAAAAAAAAAAACCAGTAATCCATCAATTGTTGATGAGTACCCAAAAAGAAATTTTTTTCTTGAGGGTCAGAAAATACAACACAAGAAAGATGAAGATAATAAACCAGGAGCGACATGATCAGAAACTTACCGAATGTTGCTCACATCCTACAATCAAGATACCAACGAATCAATCAACGGAATTTAACCATATCAATCAACATGGATGCAAGAAAGAAAACAAAAGCATAATATCTAAACTATACAAATATTTTGGAAGCAAAATCTTAACCTAACCTGAAACCTAAAAGGGAAGGTAGTAGAAATTGTACCACCAAACAATGGCATCTCTGAATAGAAATCTCCGGGACATTTTTACAATTAATAACAACTTTCCATTCACAAATAAATCACTTGAAATATCAAAACCAGTGATCTTAATCCAAATTAAAGTCATAAATTGAATTAACTAGATTTAAAAAAATTGAACATAAGCAAAATGAAAAACTTTGAAATAACCTATTCAGGTATATGTAATCAGTGGAAGAAAGAAGTGGAGAGAGTAAGAGAGAAGTAGAAGCTTTTAAAAGTCTTGCGCTTTCATAGATGAGCTGAGGTACATTTTTGTGACGCCACCTATGCTTGATAAAAAATTTGATATTTAAAAATTAAATATGAATAGAATGAATATGAGAAATAAAAAAACTGTTTATATTTATATTTTTAACAAAAATATCATTTAAAAGAAAAATTTTCACTGAACAATAATTTTTTTAAGAAAAAACTACAACATCAATAATAACAAATCAAATATTATTTTAAAGTTTATAATATAAATTGATAAAGAAAAATTAATAAATTTTTTTTTAAAAAGGAAGGAAGCTTTTAAATGTAAATACCATGAATGACCATCTATCAAACGTCATCCAAAAACCACCAGAGGAGGTCAAGTCGGGATGCCTTTGCTTCCTCGACTACCTGTTTTTCCTTTTCATCAAAAAATTCATCCCTCTATTTTTAATTTTGGTGAATCCTTTCGTTTTTTCCGATAAAAAATAAAATCAACCATTCAACAATTGTTAATAAGTACCAAAAAAAAAATTCTTCTTAAGGAACAAAAAATAGAAAAAAAGAGAGAAAATTTGACAGAATAATAATTTTTATTTTTTTTTAAAAAGAACTACAAAATCAATAATAAAAAATCAGGTATTATTTAAAAGTTTGTAAAAAAAAATTGATAAAAAAAATTAATAAATTAAAAAAAAAGGAAGCTTTTAAATGTAAACCATGGACGACACCTATCAAACACCATCCAAAAACAACAAGAGGGGGTCAAAGTCGGTCTGCCTTTGCTTAATTGATTACCTGTTCCTTCCCTTTTCAGCAAAAAATTCATCCCTGTATTTTTTATTTCTGTGAATCATTCTGTTTTCTACTACAAACACAAAAGCAATCATTCAACAATTGTTGATGTAACAACCCAGATTTTCACGAGTGAATAAGGTTGTTACCCTTAATTCGTCTATAACAAAATAAGTAATAACATTTACAAATCTGTCATAATTGTCATCCTCTCAGTTAGTTCTAACACAATTCAATCATAACTTACATACATACCAATTCCAAAAGTGAGAATATACTGAATAAAAGTTAGCAGGTCTTATAATCAGTTTTGCACTCTCTACAGGTTATACTCTGGCTCTGGAAGCACTTGTATCTATTCCTGCTTCATCTGCTCTGTAAGATAATAAAATAATGAGCTTACACAGCCCAGTAAGATCAATTTAAAAATTTAACCAACAGAATTGAAACCGGTGCGATTAGCCCGTTAATTATATCCTTCTCTCTAGTCCTGGTAGACACCTGAAATTCTGCCCAACACTTCTCTGCTCACCACTCCTGTATCTTACCTATTCGGCTCCCTCTTGCGACTTAAAGTCATAACTACAACCTAACTCATCACATATCAAATCTGTATCCTTCCAACCTACACCTCCCTAATTCCTCACTTTCCTTGACCTTCCCGAAGCTTATGATGGCTCCAATTCAAAAGTAATCAATGTTATGCACACACACCCATATACTGCACAACAGGGAAATCACAGGGAAAAAGGAAGTACCATTTGGTTAATTCGGAGGAAGTTAAAAAATCGATTCATAGTGGTGGTTTGGGGATTAGATCTCTTGTCAACATAAATTTGGCTCTTCAAGGAAAAAGGTTATGGAAGTTCTTGAATGAAGATTACAAGCTATGTAGAAAAATTGTGCTTGTCCGCTGGGGTGATCTGAATGCGGTATGTGATTGGGGCCAGCTCTAGACCTCATGGACGAGGCTTGTGGAAGAATATAATGAAACAATGGCCGAGGTTCTACAGCTGTATTAAATGGAACCTGGGGGAAGGGAATAAAATTAGTTTCTAGCATGACAAATGGGTTAGTGATGTCAGTCTGCAGAACAGGTTTCTCAGCATTTTTGAGATTGCCCATTCGAAATCGATGTTGGTGGCTGATGCTTACCGGATTTACAATGATTGTGTCGTATGGTCTGTCAGAGTGAATAGGAACTTAAATGACTGGAAAATGCAAGAGTTTGAAGAACTCTTTATGCTTTTGGAGAAGCAGAATGTGAAAGAGGGCTCGGATCAGGTCTCATGGAAGTTAGAAAAAAAGGGAACTTTTTCTATCCATTCATACTACAGAATGCTGATTGGTGGGGATGGGGATGACAGTTGGGACTTTCCCTTTTAAACAAATTTAGAATAGAAAAGTCCCTCCTAGATTGGCTTTTTTTGCGTGGGAAGCAAGCAGGGAAAGTATTCTCACTATGGACAAATTAAAGAAGAGGGGGCAGTTTATTGTTAATAGATGCTACCTTCGTATGTGTGCCCCGTGACATATAGTGTGTGGTGCATAATTTATGGGCTGCTGGGGATTAATTGAGTTGTGGCTGGGAGTGGTAGGGATGAAATTTGGGTTTGGGTGGGACTTAAGATCAACGGAAGTGTTCCTACTTTGGTTCCATTGACCGTTTTTTGGGTAATTTGGAAAGAAAGAAATGCTGAAGCATTTGAGAGGAAAGAAGCAAGATTATATAAATTAAGAGATAGATGTTTTAATTATTTTGGGACAAACTTGTTAGAGCATGATATGATGAATGAGGAGGATTTTGGGATTGGCATTGATATGCTTACTAATCTGTAATTCTTTTGTAAATGGGTTGGTACCCCTGTTTTGGTACTGTGTTAATATACTAATATATTTTTACTTCAAAAAAAACCATCATATAGAGGTCACCATCCAAATGGAGTTCAATCCACAACTTCACATTCTGCCACACACATTCACACACTCTGCACAGGAGATTTACATGTAGATTTTATGTTCACTTAGCATTCATAAAGCATTCCGCTGTGTATAATTATATATACACCCCAACAAATGTCTCTTGGCCAAACACGACCGCACACCTGCACAAACTGACAGTTGCCTCTCGGCCAAACAAGGCCACACACTCACACATACTGTGCAATAGAAATATACACCCCAACAGATGTCTCTCGGCCACACACTCGTACATACGGACAGATGCCTCTCGGCCAAACACGGCCACACACTCGCACATACTGTGCAACAAAAATTATCACATGCAAAATTATGCATTTACTCAGCCATTTCGTTATATATAATTATATATATATATATGGAAACCCCAACAGGTCACCTCAGCCAAGCCTGGCCTCTTGCTGATACCTACCGCGCAGCAGAATTTATCACATGCCAGGTTATATATTTATTCAACAATTTTGCTATACATATATATGTTGTTATACCCCACTCGGCCCCAACCTGGCCACACACTCACTCATACTATGCACCAAAAATCATCACATGCCATTTCATCTCTGTTCAGCATTCACAGACCCCAATATTTAAAATTCTCAAAAGGTGTCTCTCGGTCATCATCTGCCCGCTCACAGCATGTTCCAGTTTTTCCTCTATTATTCTTTTCTTTTATGTTTTCTGACAGTACTGCTCATACTTCCATTCTCATTCTTTTTCACCCGTTGCCAGTTCAAGCGGAAGGGTTCTCCCACTCAAAATGTCCTCCTTGGTATTTTATTTATTTATTTATTTAATTCTTATTGTTCTTCCTTTTCCAAATTTTCTCCTCTCAGGTTGTAAGCAATTCTCTGCTAAATTTAATAAACTCCTTCTCCTGCTCCGGTCACCCTTTCTTTTCTCTGTTTTCATTTTTTTTTCTGCACCCATACTAGCTTACTTCTGCTCTCAGCCTTCTGCCCTCCTCTCGCCTGCTCACTCCCTACACACACCTTGCTGCATCTGCACCTTTTCTATTGATCCAGAGTACTATACCACTTCTCTCAATAACCTGAACTCCCTCTCTACCTCATCTCACCAGTCCCTCTGAAGTATCATCATCTAGCCCCCAATTTGATTTTTATCACCTCATGCCCATTCCACACATCCACCATTCTTGAAGTCTCACATTTCTGCATTATATTATTCCACCATTCAATTGTGGAATAATATAAAATCCCTCTGCATTCACATCCAAAGTCCACCTAGTCCCCCCTCCCTTTTTTTTATTTTTTATTTTTTATTTTCTACTTCGTTTGCCGGGTCTATTCACCACTACGCTTCAGATCAACACTGAACCGGTAACTTGTTATATCCAATCGGTGTAACACTCCAGATCACCTAAAATCTTTAAATCTCTCAAGGTTTTTACACCACTCGTTTTCCTATCCCTTTCACTCATCATTAGTTCTACAAAACATGAGAAATCAAGACATTTAATAGATCTTACCTCCATTGGACGATTCCACTATAATTCCTGCCTAGCCTTCACAGAAATCACCCTCCTATTTCTTCTTCCATCAGCCTGGTTTCGTGATGTTGTTTCTCCCTCTCCTTCTCTTCCTCTCTGCAATTCTCTCCTTCCGCAAATGGCCTCTCTCTCTCTTCGAGTTTCTCCCTTTCTTTCCTCTCTTTTTTTTCCCCTTTTTTTCTTTCCTATTTATAACAACCCAAATTAAATCTGGAGCATCAAATTTGGAGAAATCCTCACTGTTAAATTATTTTCCTTTTATCAAAACAGCATCTACAAAACATGAGAAATCAAGACATTTAATAGATCTTACCTCCATTGGACGATTCCACTATAATTTTTTAAAAAATAGAACTACGAGATCAATCGTAAAAAATCAAATATTATTTTAAAGTTTATAATATAAATAGATAAAAAAAAATTAATAAATTAAAAAAAAAGAGAAAGAAGCTTTTAAATGTCAATACCATGGACAACCATCTATCAAACGCCATCCAAAAACCACCAGAGGGGGCCAAGTAGGGCTGTCTTTGCTTCCTTGATTACCTGTTTCTTTCTTTTTCGTAAAAAAATTCACATGATTTTTTAATTTGGTGAATCCTTCTGTTTTCCCCTATAAGCACAAAATCAACCATTCAAAATTTGTTGGTAAGTACGCAAAAAAAATTTCTTCTTAAGAGAAAAAATAGAACAAAAGAGAGAAAATTTTGACAGAATAATTTTTTTTCAAAGAAGAACTACAAGTTGAATAATAAAACATCAGATATTATTTGAGAGTTTGTAATAAAAATATATAAAAAATAATAATAAATTAAAAAAAAGAAAAAGAAAAGAAGCTTTTAACTGTAAATACCATGTACGATCATCTATCAAATGCCATCCAAAAACCACAAGAGGTGATCAGCTCGGGCTGCCATTGCTTCCTTGATTACCTATTTCTTTCTTTTTCATCAAAAAATTCATCAAACCTATTCATTTTGGGGGAATCCTTCTGTTTTTTCCCATAAGCACAAAATCAACCATTAAATAATTGTTGATAAGAACCAAAAAAAGATTCTTTTTAAGGGACAGTAAATAGAAGATAGGAGACAGAGAGAAAAAATTGACAGAATAAATGTAAATACCATGAATGATCATCCATCAAACGCCATCATAAAATCACTGCGGGCGGGGCGGGTGGGGGGTTCAAGGGCTGCCTTTGCTTCCTTGATTATCTTTTTCTTTCTTTTCATCCAAAAAATTCATTTTCCTATTTTTAATTTTTGTGAATCCTTCTCTTTTCTCCTAGATATGTTAAATTAAATAAATTTTGGATACATAATTATCATCTAAATTATATTGTTAAAAATTACTTGAAAATTTTTCATGTGTACTAACATATTTTATTTAAAATATTTAAAACATTATCTAATTTTAAAATATGCAAACACGATTTTTTTTGTGGTTCAAGACAAATTAATGTCACGAAGAGACTTCCGAGTACTACTTACTTTACCAAGATTCGCTTGTGGGCCGCTATTAAAATATCTGTACCAATTGTTTTCTGTTGTAGGTTTTGAAAATAAACCTGCAAGATTAGTTAACAAATTTCTTTTAATAATTCAAAACAACTTGGCGATGCAAAAGAAAGCATAAACAAATACCGTTAAGAGATTTTGTGCTTATCTGTTTTGTCTTCCTTTGGAAACAGCCCGTTAAAGTAAACAGTAAGAAAAAATCAACCAAAGAAGAGAGGAAATATCATAACAACACATCTAACCATTCTCCCATTTCTTCGTACATGCATAGAGCATATATTTAAAAAAAGAAAAAGAATTCGAATTAGTGATAAACAATGCGGGAAAATATTCTAATCGTGTGGCCTAGTACTAGAAGATAAGAAAAGTCACATTGGTCTGCATTCTAAAACATGATGTCCACGTTTTTGACATTTAAAAGTTACCCCACATCCTTCAACACCTTGTTAAGGGGAAAGGTCTTGAAGAAACCAGGTGGCACTTCCATTATCGTGCAATTAACGGATCTCCTCTTGGGTTAGCGAATAAACTAAGGTCCATATCTAAATGCACAATTAAACTTGTTTCCTATATTTTTCCTAAACTAATTAATTTCTAAAACGTGAATTAACTAAAACACAAGATTTATCAGAGCTTTGGGTTTTCCGAAACACAAACAAAAATGGCGATCTATACGGAGGGTGAATCGGTTGGGTTCAAGACCACAAACAAAACTGGTTAGGACCAGTCAGTTCAATCGGAAAAAAAGGAGAGAAAAACAATTAATGCAAGCGCCAGCAAGGAGGCTTGGGTAGTGGCATTCACTCCGCCCACCATCAGTCAGGTTCAGTTCTCGAATTTCCCAACCCACACTTGACCTCGCCACCACAAGCTCATGCAGTCGGAACTGCATCCCAATGTCGTACACGCATCCACAGGCAAAGTCGCTAAACCTCACCCCGCACTCGGATTTCGCACGCACACCACCAATTTTGAAATTTCGTAGAAGTCTGTTCCCACACTCGCACACGGCATTGACGCGAGCATGCGAACCTTCTTCATCCTTCGGTCGCGGCTCAAGCCACTCACTCTTCTCCTCTCCTTGGCTTGCGGTTTCTGCCACAAATATTCCTTTTCTCATGGAGATCGAATTCATGCGATCTACCTCTACCCACTTTCCCTTCGATCTCGTCAGGCTTCCCTTCCGGTTGAGACCGCCACTATGCGATCTCGGCCATTCCTTTTCACAGGCAAGATCGCCACTATGTGATCACACGGTTTTGTGGGAAACCACCGGTTTTGCAGTTTCCCACATGTCCATTTTCAC